GCCACGGAGCAATCGCGCCTCCTCCTTGGGATAAAGACTATTCACTGACAAGTAAATACATGGCACTCTGAGGTAGATAGAATCGTTTCGTGACCCTGCCACTTCTTGTTTAAACTGGGCCCCGCTTGGGCCCCCGTTTTATAACGAGTAATAATAATCTCCACTTATATGCGATTGACATCGACAGAAACCATGTACATAAGAAATAGGAGACTGCAAACTTGCGATTGATTGGAGGTCTTGCGATTGATTTTGGATCAATCGCAGCTTATTACATTATTAGACGGATCCCTGATGCTCACGTTGTCACATTAAACACACCCATGCTGTCTGCAATGATACCCATATTAAGAAGTAGCTGATTACTGCCGAGGGAGCTGTAAAAGAGAATATAAAGATATACGTGTAAATTCCAAATTCTACAACTTTTTAAAGATAACATATTCAGGTTTTTTAAACTTAAAAGCCGTTTTCATCTGTAAGATATCGTAATACGTTTTACCTACGTATGGGTTGATCACTAGCACGTAGGTTATTGAATTGTTTATCATCTATCTGTTTTTCTAGAGAATGGTAGTAAAATAACCGAAATGTTCCCCTTGAATAAACGAATAAAAATGTTCGGTCCTATCGATGCCGGTTGCGTTTTATAGGGGATACTTTTTTCTGGTGCAACATGTACAAGAACATACCTCCTAGGTTGATACCATGGTGACACGTGATGTCCGTGCATGCAATATCAAACGATTTTTCACCTTTGACCCAAAACCCTTCGTCACTCTCGTAGATTTTGGCGCAAATGCGGGAAAATGTGGAACAGTTCAGTGAACCCAGAAGCAGGTCACCCTTTACATTGTCGAATGTCAAGGTCGATGCGGTGTCCAGGCCCAGCGCTTGCTGTCTATACGAAAGCTTTGCTGGAAACTCGACTAAAAGCAAATAGAAAATGTTAAGTGAAATTAATATTGAAGCACTTCCACAGCATACAGTTTAACGACAAAGAAAATGATACGTTGGAAAAGGTGCAGAGGTGTTGTCAAAAGTGTGAGACACTGGAGAGACTCAAAGCACTGAAAATCCCCACTCTACAGTTTAGACGGAAACGATCTGATAATTATGATTCAAGTGTTCAGAATAATGCACCAGTTCTGGACTTGAGAGCAGGTGGAAAGATGCCCCAGATAAATATGATGACAACCCCAACCAAAGGAAACCATGGATAGGAACAGCAGTCTAAAGGCTGAATAATCCTGGATCAAGTGAGTTACAGGTGAGTTTATGACTCCTCCCCCCCCCCCCCCCCTCGTTTTTAGGCTCGAGTTAGCATCAAGGTTATGATTCGGGATAGTGTTAAGTCCACGGTTGAAGTTCGGAATTTGACTCCGGAGCTATCGTAACACTTTAAAAAATCCAGTACAAACCTGACAGCCTATGGTTGGTCAAGTTGGCGGCGAAGAACGTAAGGCGCCAATTACGATCCCCTACGACGTAACCCGTTTCGACAAAAGTGCCAATTCGGATCTTTGCTGAGATGGTGATCAGGTTTTCCGTTACGTTAATCCGTTTGTCCGCAGGATCCGTGAGCGTTACGCGATCTATGGCGAGATTTACTTCAGGAACTGTCAAATAAAAAATGCAAAGATTTTGCGAATGACATAACATATAGACCTTAAAGCCTTTCTGAAGTGTTGGGAGCTCCAACAAAAATTAATGGCCAAATATCACCTAAATTTTATAATGATGTGAAAGAGGATGTCATTTAGCACAAACTTCTGCAAGGATTTTCAAAAGAAATGTGTTTGAAGACGAATATTGATGAAAAAATACACAAATTAGGCTTTCTGCGTACAGCAGTATACCCAAATATGGCATTATGTCACTAATATTTGGGCTCCCAACACTTTAAAGGGGATTTAAAGAAAACTCTCAACTGCTGATTGTTAAGAAAGGCCATTGTAGATCCTTTCTGAGAACACAATCAATGCAATTTCATGAAATCAATGACCTTGACAAAGTCCGGGTTTTACCTTTTAGAAGAGGGAAACTTTCTTGAACAAAAAAAACGGTGGAAGCACATCGTAATATCTTACCTTGGGCCGTGTAGGTCTCGTACTCGTAGTCAAATCCATTTTCTTCCTCAGCGTGAATAATTGCTGCATCTGAAAACCAACGATTACCAAAAAACAGGATGGACGCCGGAGACATGTTATCAATGCAATGAAAACATCTAAGATGGCAGCCGTGCTAAAGCCAGGGTAATAATCGGAAGCGCCAGGAGGGTCAAATCTGACTGACATGAGCGCTATACAAGAACCCACTATTATTATTATTATTATTATTATATATGCTTTTATCTAATTCAGTCTTTTAAAATTGCAACGTCAGAAACATCAGGTAACAATTTTATCAATCCGTAAATCCGTTGTACTTTTCGTTAACTTAAATACGTCCATATCATGTAAATAATCATTGCTGTAATAAATCACCTTTAATAATTGATCCTTTAGAATACTTACCTCCAAAGTTTGCCACCAATAAGAGGAAGAAAATCATCACAGAGCGGGAACAATTGACCGTCATAATGTCCACGTTATATTTTCCACAAAACAAGTTTAAAACATAATTCAGAATCTGTGTATTGAGCTACACCTGCAAACCATTTCCCCTACTTTTCCACGTAAAAGTGTTCGTTAAATTGCCCTCAATCTGTTGCGCATGTGTTCTCCGTGGTGCAAGTTTGTGGAACTTATCGGCTCATTGCTATCCGTTTTTTCTTCCTCTTCTTTCTCAACGAAGAATCAAACAAGAAAATATTCCTTAAATGTCCTTCCAAATTAAAATTGAAATCGTTGTTCAGCTTTCTCTCTCAAATCAAACGTCGCATAAACACCGATCGACCATTCGTTGGCGTACTGTCATTAAAAAATATTAAAGCAGCGACATGACAATGGAGATAATATTATGAATTTCTAATATTTACCAAAAAAATCATCAAAGTGAAATATTTCATATCGTCTTCTTCGCTTCCATGGGTACACAGGTGTGACATCTCGACCTGTTTTGTTTGATTTTAATTTGTTTATTCAAGCCTATTGTTATGATATGACAGTAGTTTACGTGACACCAACACAAAGAGGTAGAGAAGTTTATTCTTGATACCGTGCCCCTCCAGATCAAATCATCTGTTTAGATGGAACCAGAAGGACATTAATTCATATACTTTAACACAGAGATAACGCCCTTATGGCTCTTAATAGGTTAATAAACCAGTTACCTTTGTTGAAAAAATAAATAAGAAGTGTTTTGTTTGATTATCAAATATTCTCTACGGTCTGTTAGCTGACAAATCGTTTTCGTTATAAAACGTTAATAAGTATTTTGTTTTGTAAAGGTGTACCCCGTGTGATTTTTCTCAAGTCATTTTTTAAAACCATGCTTGCTCTCTCTCTCTCTCTCTCTCTCTCTCTCTCTCTTCTCTTCCCTTCCCTTCTGTTCTCCCTTCCCGGTCTCTGTCCCCATATAGGTATATTTGTCAGTCCCCTTGATCTGTCTCTCTCGTCCTCCCCACTACTATATCCATCGATCTTTCTCACTTTAATTCTCATCGCTCTCTCTCTCTCTCTCTCTCTCCTTCTCTCCTCCTCCTCTTCTCTCTCTCTCTCTCTCTCTCACTCTCTCTCTCTCTCACTGTATATCTCTTTGTCTCTCACATACTCTTTCTTACTTCTTTATTTCTCTCTCTCACTCTCTCTCTCTCTCTCCTCTCCCTCTCCTTCTCTCTCTCTCTCTCTCTCTCTCTCTCTCACTGTATATCTCTTTGTCTCACAAATACTCTCTCTTACACTGTACTTCTTTATCTCTCTCTCTCTTTCTCTCTCTGTTCATATCTCTACTTATCTCGTTTTACCTTTCCCGTTTCTTTTGCAACCTTTCTAGGGTTTTTCGCCATAGGGGCATACTTTTGGATTGCCTAGGCCGATGGGAGACATATTTATAAGTTAATGTAGAGCAGTCATTAAACACTGGCTTTCCACTAAATGTTTTGTATACCAGGTCAAAGTGACCTTCAAATATGCATGTTTCTTTTCCAAGTTGAATCATGTATCCGATAATGCAGAGCGAACAATTACGTGTAATACTACTAGTTTTAAAAAAAATGCATTTCCAATAAAAACACAATATTGAAGAAAGAAATGAACAAACGAGAGGAAAATCGTATAATTTGTATATAAATATTTTACTAAAAGTATTTTAAAATATATTTTACCAATAGTATTATAAAATATATTCTACAGAAATACCCATATTACGTCAAAACAGATGGCACTTTGCTGTACTTTTGACAAACATGATCGTTAAAAAGGCGTTAACAGATACGATAGTAGTTACCAACCAACCTTCCGGCGTGGGCCAGATGATTATTTATATTAACATCTTGTAACCAAAAGTAGTTAGCCTCTTTCAAATGTACACACTTATCTGTCCCAAAGATAGATAAGTATTAAAATACCATGTAAGAACTGATAAAACCCGATAACTAAATTAAAAATTAATAATTAAAATAGTAAAATGGGTATGATAATATTATATGATACTAAAATGACTATGTTTGTTATTCCGAAGATAGATCATTATTCTAAGAAGTACAATAAGACCTTTCCAAAGCCTGACCAAAATATAAAAATAAGGCAGTTATAAAATTAGTATAAAAATATTTCCTTAAATCTACATTAATGTGATAATTAAGTGTATTTTATTTCCCTCTCAATGAAGAATCATTTGATACATTTGATTGTGTTCATAACTACTCGGCTCTCCGCCTCATAAGTCGAATACAAGGAGAAAGTTTTGATTTATTTTAAATTAAAACATATGATAAAGTGATCAGATCTATAAAAATACTTTTAAGAATATTATTAGATGCAATGATACATATTTTAAAGGTTGGCCTTTATACTCCGTAACATTTTATATATTTTACAAATGGTAACCATGATGGCGACAACGGACTTTAGCGAGGGCATTTGGAGCATGTAGAATGGACGGTCTTGTTACACTGCTATGGTAGCAGTAAGGTTTAACATTTTCTGTTGCTAAAACCAGCTACCGATTAACCATTTATCAAAGATCTACAGTCATAATGCAAGCTTGAATGAGAGGTAACAATTAATATGTCCAAAAACGGGTGAAGGGTATTAAACTGAAGGTGCATGAGACTGAAAGTTCATGAGGCTTTTGTACATTTATCTTTATAATGGACCACCAGTATCGTGAGTAAGGTTCACGAGAGAAAAAAATTTGGCCTCGCAATCATTCGGTCTTATGGGTATTCGATCTCGTAGACCTTCGGAAATTAAGAACATAGATACGGTCTTTTAAATCTTCTGTTTTATTAACCATAGGCCCTGTGAATCTTTGATCTTGAGTAACTTACGTTTGCTGTTCATGAATTTTTGGCCTCGTGAACCTCGGTAAATTCGGGCTCTAGAATTTTTCACTTAGTAAACCCTCGGTCTTTCGAAACCTCGACCTATTGAATTTTGGTCTTGATAACCTCGGCCTCGTGAACGATCAGCCATCTGTATCTTCGGTCTCGAGAACCATTGTCCCTGTGAACCTTAGCTCTTTTGAAACGTTCAGTCAACTTGAAAATGTCTGTACAAACTGATGCTTGCGATGAACACATTCGTATGTGGTCTATCTGCATGCTCCAAATGTAATACTTAATACTTAACTGAGGTTGTCCAACCTGTTCGAAACCCCTTAAAGTTTTCAAAAATGACATTAATATGATGTAGGGAATTACAATGATTAACACAAAGTGAAATACAAATGTAAAAAATAGTCTAAATAACATGAAAGGCTACGTTAACGCATCTGACATTCAGTTACTTTAATTTGTTACATGTATGATTGCTAATGTAAAACTACAGGCACACGTTGTGGCAATTTTATGGCGAATAGTCTCATTGGTCCACTCATGAGCAGAATGCATACATATTCAATGCTAACGTGTGGGTTTGTCCCTTTTCCTCTTCCTTTTCCGGCAGAATAGTCCCTCCCAACATTTCACAAAGACGTTGTCGAACCACCTCTTCATATTGTTGAGCGTGAAGGATTCGACGGCGAATGAGAGGAAGGCTGAGAGCATCAGCATGCCAAGGATCATGGTGGTGATGGACACCAAAGTGGCGGATGTCTTCTGCTGCTGCGTCAGGGTTTGGCCTCTCGTGTAATAGAACATGTCCCCGAACCCTACCGTCAAGATGGTGATGACGTCAAAATAGAGGGAGTCAATGAGAGACCAATTCATTGGCACAAAGTTGGAATAATAAATCATGAGGGACGTCGAGCAGAGGTACAAGACAAAGAAAAGTGCGACGAACCATATCGGTACACCCGTTTCCTTGTTCCCTGAAGCGTTATCTCCTTCATCGGAGTTACTATTGCTGTTGTTTTCGTTGATTTCATTGTCCGAGACAACCGGACCATCGTCCTCCACACCTGTCATGGTTGTGTCGCTCCTTTCGGATCCGTGATCGCCATGATTCACGGATCCGTTGACCAGGTCTCGCATCTGAGAAATGTGAGTAACGTGTTCCATTGACGGATGTTCCCACTCTTTCTCGCTATCGCCTCCTCCAGAGCTGTCCGTTTTGTTATTACCTCCACTCAGCTTTACCGTAGAGCGGTTCTGCGTCAGCAACAGCCCGTTTTGCCTCGGTCTAATCGCGAGCTGGTGGGCGCCATTCATTTGTATCTCCGTATCAGAGTCCGAATGTTCCACGGCTCCGTTGATAAAACTGGAATTTCGTTTGTTCTTCCCCTTTTCCGCATTGTGGTTACACTGCTTTGTGGCGTTGATCCGGGTGGCTCCGATAATGCTCAAGGTGCTGATAGAGCGCGGCGGACGCACATCGACTCGCCTTCCGCGCTTCTCTCGACATGACATGCGGAGGTTGTGGAGGGACTGGTACGTTTTTGTGATGCAGAATACGATTCCTCTCCCAACCCATCCTATAAGGGTGATGTTGAGAGGGATACCAATTATGGCATACAGGAGGCAGAGAAGACGTCCTGTATGAGTCCGAGGAACCAGTAAGCCATAACCTGTGAGAGAGTGCAGAAAGAAAACATAGCAACATTTAGGAACCAATATTGTGCGTTTCGTAGATTGTTTTATCAAATGAGTGAAAGGGTTGATTTAAATAGGGGTATAAAATATATTTCAACGTTAACTAGGGTTTAAGTCGTTTATCATGGTTATGTGCGCGGTTTTATCTCGACTAAACCAATAGTACGCTGCCATTCATAACATATCATAACATTGTAGCTTCAAAAGAAGAATGGAATCGAGGTTTAGAGGTTACAAATGATTTTCATCTCCCTATAAACTTAAAATGCTCAGTTATTTAACAGCTGGCAATACTACATTGAAGTAAGATCTTCAATACGGTCAGCACAGTTGCTGTCGGTCAGTTAAATTTTGTCAAACGTTGAGTCAACGTTGATCCGACGTCAATTTGTCACCGTTGAGCTAACGTTTGCAAGAGGGACGAAAATGCATTTGCCTTACATTATATCTCTAACGTTGGGCCAACGAAAGAGAACACGTTGGCCAAATGTTGGCCAAAATGAGTATAGTTGCACACATCGATGTTTCACTACAATAAAAAGAATGGACCATGAATTTACGCACGGTAGGTCGTTGTCATAATTTCTAGCAAAGTTGCAAAATAAGCGAACCTCTAAACTTCATAATTATAGAGAGGGAACTGACACTGAGACATCATCTTAAACTTTTCTTTGTCGACGAAGTTATTTCATATTGCACCTTGTGGGCCTAACTTGAATATACTTCGTCCGCATTACCACGCAAACAAGCATATATCAGAGCCAACTCGCTTAGCTTACCAATTGTAGAGACCACAGTGAGGCAGAAATGAATACCACCAAGAAAGCTCCATTCAAGGCCCTTATCCTGGTGGATCTCGCGTATTATAGTGTCGGCGAGGTCGTCGACTTGGCAGTCGGTCACGTTCGAACCATTCATCACCGCGTAATTTGCTCCGCTGATGTTGCACCTCCGTCCCCTCTCCCAGGCCTGTTGGGGGTTTAAACAAAAGTAGCATCGGGTCAAGTTGGGAGTTCTAAACTACATGTAAGTTCGAGCTAAATGGTAGACTAGTTCAGAAATGTATTCAACTTGGAGACATCCCATTAAAGCAACAGGCACGAGGATGTCTCATAATCATTCAGAATTAAAATGCTGACAAAGTCTCCTGGGCTGTCAGTCTGTTAAAACTTAGTATGACTTACAGAAGCCCCTTGAGCTGATGACATTGAATGTAGCTCTCGTAGGCTCTAGACATTGAAATATACGGAGCATTGGTTGAGAACCATGTTCCATTCACATTTTACTCTTTTTTTGGGGGGGGGGGGTATTACAATAGACAAGATGGAGGTTACAATTGTGTGTGCTATGTCGGACAAGCATCTGACCAACTCAAGGTGCGTTACATTTACTGCAGACGTCTTACATATGAATCTTCGATAAACATACATTGTCTTATTCGAGGAGTTAGGGGCATATCCTGTCCCTCCCCTCCCCTTCCCCCTATTTTTTTCTATTCCTAATCCGGTATACCTTATGTAAAACCCGATACGTGATGGAATAAACAGGAGAAGGTATCTTCCGCACTACCTTATCAAGAATCTGATTCTACAACGAGGTCTTTTAGAGACTTCACACATATGTATGAAAATCACCTCGAAGGCCTCAGACTCAGACATGCAGTTAATATTGGTGTCAATACAGATGTAGATTACAGTTTCGTTTACCACCATAATAATTAATGTCATTGTCATAGGGGTGAAAAGAGATACATGTATCACGTACTTCAAAACAAATTTGAAGCGCGTATGGACTGTTTCGTTGAAGTCTGAATCAAGACGATGGTTCAAAAGTTCATACTATTACAGTTTAGGATGATTTGATCTTACATGTATGTACCCACGGGAGCCACACCATTGCCCATCCTGTGGTCCCTGCAATTATCATTACTCCATCATTGTCAAATACCGATGGTATACACCTTGATCGAGGGCGCGGGGTGGACAAAAGATCTTGTCCAAGTGTTAAACACACGGTGCATGGATTGAAACCCGTTACCTATCGTACGAGAGTCAAGGGTGTTCATACTCCCGCTTGGTATTCAAGTGGGCTTACATAATATCCATGAGTATAGCAGGAAGAAAGTGAAAGTTTGCCCAAACGGCATCATGGTAGTTACCTCGATGACAAGATTGGTGAAGTACTCCTTCTCGACTTGCCGCTGAAGCATGAGATGGGGTCCCTCGATGCTAGTGAACATCCAGGCACCGCCACAGAGGTAGAGGACCCAGACTATGGCAGGGAACACCGTGATGGCAACCTGTAATTTAATAATTCAATTCAATTCAAGATTTGTTAAATACCGTCAAACCTGCTTTAGTAACCACCTGTCTACAACAAGCATATTTTTTGTTTCCCTTGAAAAGTTTCTCATTGAAACATGTAACTAAAGGAACCTGTCTACAAAGACCACTTTTGTGTTTCACTTGGGCGGTCGCTGTAGACAGGTTTGACTGTATATCTTCGCAGCGAGACGGCGTATCTACATGTATTTGGTGTTAATTTTTCCATGATTTAAAATGAATAGCATTGAATTTAAGATTCAGAATAGGGCAAAACCCGTCTTCAGCTGACAGAGAACAGCTTATCTTCCATGAGATCCTTGATAATACAAAAATAATGCATGCAATTCACAAAATATAACAAGTAAGTAATACTATTAGTATGATAACGTAGAAAATAGCATCAATATGTCTTATATTGTCATGATTGTAAAAAAAAAATGTATTGAATGTACACGATATTATTTTCAAATACAATTCAACTTGATTATAACGCATTCACGTTCAATAATTTTATAATGGATGCACGACCACAATCATCCTACACCATGTTATAATAATGAAATGAGAAGGAAGAAGCGAGAGGTGAAAGAATTCCTTGTGCACAGTTCTACAAAATGTATGATACTTTGTAATAAGTATGTAGATTTGTCTTGAAAGTTTGGATGATCATCGTAAATAAATGCAAAGATTCAATACAGAAAAGTACACTTAAATACTTATTATGGAAAATATCAATTAATTTGTAACCGTCAATTGCGATTATACTTGTGCCATTTCATTAATGTAGGTTTCGAGAGATGGTATGCAAGGGATGACACTGTCAGATTAGGTAGAACAATTAAAAGCATACATGATCCATTACGTCTACTTTTCATTTTAGAATTGGTTTACATATACATGTAAGACTATCTGTTTCTAGAAAACCATAATAAAGACGGAATACTAGTCTCTAAATCAAAGGAGATCTGACATTTTATCCGACAATTGTTTCGGACTTTATTTCGTCGAGGATATAGGGTTGCGGTTGCGAGTTGGGTATTAGTTAGATTTAGGGTTTATAGTGTTATGGTTAGGTATAGTGATGGGTCCACGGTTGAAGTTACGGATTCGGTTTGTGTTGGAATTCATCGCGAACCCGGTGTCGCAGGACCATAAGAATCGTACAACCTTACTTCAAAGATATCGTTGTCACTATAACACGTTAAAGATGATTTCATATTTTTCAGCTCACCTTGAAGCAGCGCCCTCTGGTGGTCTTGGACGGACCTTCGTTCATGGTGACGCCTCCCTTCTCGCTGTCCGGTTTGTCCTTCATCTCTGAAGATACAGAAGAGAGGGATGGTTGCACATCACTACATGATACACGAGTATCCGTTAACATCCGCTAACTTCGGCGACAGGGGCTAAAACGACTCTCCCCGGAAGTGACTATAGGAGATCAGAAATAATACATGTACGTGGTGTTAAAAGCTTTAAATCAATAATTTTCAGGAATCAAGTATCGACGTCATTATTCAGAGCAGATAAATGAAATGGCTGGTAACTAGGGGTTATAAAGATAAACATGCATTAATTGAAACATAATTATATAGATTAGTAAACAGCTCTATTAAAATGCTTCGCAATATTAATGTTCTATATGTACATGTACTAGGGTCACTCAGTACAGTAGATCCCTTCAAAAGATCGGTCGAGTCAATGCATACATAGATAATGAACATCCCGTATCAATTACATGGAACTTTATGGATTTCTTGGACTGGTACACAGATGCCGCTGTTTGCAGGATCGGCAAAACTTTCACAAACTCGCAATTAATGAGATACAAATCAAAGTACAATTGCTTCATTTATAATCTAAACAAATTACAGGTCTAGCCCTGGAATAGGCATTTTTAAAGTGTCTGCAATTGTTCCATTGTATTCTAAGTACGTTTAAAATCAAATATAAACAATTTCTGTTAAATAAGTATGATAATCAGTATTAATAGCACGGGCGACTATGACACTTTTGTAGAGTCAGTTTGTTACACTCTCTTGCTAGTGTTTTTTTAAACTCCGATTGTACATGATTGTATGATTTAGTATTTTTTGTTTTGTTCTTTTGTTCGTATTTCTTCTTTTTTTCCTGTACATGAATATGTGTGTTTTAGGGGTAGGCTTTCATATAAGGAATCCCTCCTTTCTGCCTCTCCCAAATGCTGTCATTAATTGCCATTGTTATTTGTTATCACTATCTTGTTTTTTATCATTAAATTCTGTATTTGTATATTTTAAAAAGGGTTTTTATGACATATGGCTCCGGTTGTCTCATTTTCGCTCGCTGGAACATTGCCAGCACAAACCACTGACCTCTACCTCCTGGACGGATCATCGCCCATTCCCATTCACTATACGTTACGTACTGACCGTTATTGTCTGACCGTTCATGAATATTCATGTTTTTGCTTACCTCTGCAAAATGTTTGCTTTTACTAAATGGAAAAATTACGGTGGGGGTTGGGTGAAATGGACTAAATGAACAAAGCAGAAGTGATCTATGATAATTCATTCTTCTTATCCTTCGTGTGCTTGACCTATAATCTTAAAATCGCTTGGCAAACTGAGTCCAAAGTTCGACTTGTTTCACATGTGTATTATAGGCAATGACGAGCTTGCAACCTATTTTGATCAAATTACGGTGGGTGAACTTTCAAAAGTCAATGGGACATGAGGGTTCCAATGAAAGAGCTAGTGATAACGTACGTCGGGGTGGATGTGCTTTTTGTTAAACAAAAAATGAATTTTTAACGATTTTTTTTTGGTGAAATTCCATAGGCTAACATGTTAGGCTGCTGACTCTGACGATAGGGGGCGTTGTGAAATGAGACTGAACGGAGCAATATGAAGAGTGTTGAATAAACTTTAAATTTGAATGCACATTTAGGATAATAAAATGGCAGTTCTACCCTTGTATCAAACTCATTTGTATGGAAGCAGAAAACTAAGATAAAAACAGAAACAGCAAAAGTTAAAAATAGATCGGATCGATAATCATGAATGCTTTAAACACGAGATCAATAAGTCTATGGGAATCTTAAACTGGCAGATTGGCAAATGGGTACATGTAAGTAGATTGTGACGTAGTCGCGGTAACTCTTCCGTTTGTGGTGCACAAAAATATAATCTATTTCTCCTAAGTGTCTTCTAACACATGTTTATGTATAGTGATTAAAACTTTCAAAAATTTATTGCATTTTCATTTTTATGTCCGATTTCATTCAACTTTTTGCCGGTCTACTTTTCTGAGTTGTCTTCATTTCTCTAGAGTAGTTTGCTATCAAGATTGGATTCCCCTTTAATAAGCAAACTAAGATAATTGGTATGAAATAAATCGAGTAAGCCTCTTATTAATGCAAATGGCACGAATCAGACCGTGATCTTATTGGCCCGAATTCACAAAGGAGGTTTGTCGACAAACCGAGGTTTATGTGCGTCATATGACGCGTTTCGACGCGTTTTTACAAACCTTGGTTTGTAAAAAACAAAAGGAGGTTTGTCGACAAACCTGGGTTTGTTGACAAACCTCCTTTGTGAATTCGGGCCATTGGGTTTGTCCTCCCTGACAAGAAATCTTTGTAAACATATGTTTGCTGTTATAAAACTTGAAAGATATTGCAAGATATCACACATTTAGTGAGAAACACATGGCCTTGTTATTGATATTCACTATCATTTCTTGATGGCTTCATTCGGTTTGTTATCTTATTTTTGCTCTTCCCCCGCTACTAACGGACATGGGCATCTCCAGAATATATGCTGCAAAAGTCCTGAACGCAAGAATGGCCGCCACAAAGCCCAGATAAGTGACAAGCCTCTCTGTTATGCTTTTTCAAACAGGGGAAGACAGTTATTGATTATAATTCTAAAAATATCTTTTGACAATTTTTGAGAATGTATTACAATTTCTACAATTTAAAATAAATTATTAATGAAGTGATCATTTGACCCCAAATTGTACGTCAGAAAAATTACCCTACACTAATGCACTATATGCACAGTGCTTGTACATGTACATGTACATGTAAATTTGAAATGGATAGGAATAGGATGAAATACTTTCGAGTTATTAAGATTGGAATGTATAAAGAGAATAATTGGTCTTCATATCCAGAGCAATATGGGCAGTCAAGCTTCATGAAAGGGCACATTCTGAGAGGAAAGTTACAACCCTTTCCTGATGGAAACTTTAGTCAGTTTTTATATATTATTGGTCCATGTTCCATTCATGTGTTGATGATACGGCTACCTTACAGCGTTTTTGTTGGTCTAACAACTCATTCCGGTGTTGTTGGTTCTTCATCTTCGGTTTAAGTGTTTATATGTCGAAGCTTGGTAATTCCTGCAGGCAACATTTGGTCCACGGAATACTTGTACATGTTAATGGGGTATTCGACCCAACTTCGGGGTACTGTTTCTGAGGCTCTGGGGGCGGGGAGGGGGGTGGGCTAAACCTGACGGCTATATCTACGATCAAGCCGACCATGGCTTAGATGGTCTAGGTAACTAGGAGGGGTCAGATCTTGTCGGTTATCATTTTTATACTTCAGTCACACTGCCAAACCGATTCAAAACCAACCGATTTTCTTTTCTTTTTTGCCATTTGGGGTAATATAACATTCGGGCTACATGCTGTCGGTCTCGCGTCTGTCTTTTTCTTGTGACCTTTGTATTAAATGGGGCAACTATTTCGGGACAGTCTCCCATACCTACTCATAATGTACATGTATTTGAACAAATAATGAGCGTTTTGTCGTTGGATATTGATATTGACACAAAGCGAGCTTGGCTGACTGTGTGTTAAAATGTGAATGAGATTTTATTTGTGTTCTTTGTTTTATTGCGGATTTTTGTCCGTATTATAAATTAATCAATAGTACTATACTCTTTTGTAATTGTTTTGGCATCGCAAAAACGGGCTGACCTGACTATGGTTTATATTGCTACGAAACTCTCCATATATGATCAGATCAGTGGGCAGACTCGACTAGCACATGTGCTATTTCCAGGCGCGTACACAGGGGGGGGGGGGGTGGGGGGTTAAACCCCCCCCCCTATTGCATTTTTTTTTCTATTAAAAAATATTAAAAAAATATTCCCGTGGCTGACCTAAAAAAGCTGACCTTACCCCCCCCCCCCCAACTGAGCAAAATGTCAAATTTTCAAATTTCGAGACCAAAAAAAAAGTGTCCTCTTACACCCCCCCCCCCCCCCCCCCGCTTATTCAGCGGCTGGCTGAGTCTTGGCGAAATTTTCGGCCCGATTTATAAATGTTAAACCCCCCCCCCCCCCCTTGAAAAAATCCTGCGTACGCGCCTGGCTATTTCTAATTTGTGCCCCTTACATGTACATCAACTGCAATATTCTTTGACGAAAGAGATGTGTCTACCTTTTCCAATATTTTCGCTTGATTTTATGTTTATTATTGCTTGTAATATTGATGTTTGTACCATATAGTCTGTCGTATATTTTATCGTTGATGATGAATAAATAAATCAAATCAATAATCAGTTTAAATCTACATTTTTTATGAAGATCTTCCTTTATTCCTTCTCATTCCAGACGCCTTGTAACGTCATGAGTACAACAATATGTTTGTGTTGCTAATCGCACAGATTAGCCTAGCTGGGGGTGTTTCGTAAAGTTACGCATGACTTTACGAACGACTTGTATATGAAAAGCCAAATGGGATGCTCAATCAGTATTACATACATCAACTAAAGTTGAACTGTGCAGATGAAGATTAACATTCTTATGATAATAAACATTTTTAATGCAAAGTATATATTTTGCCATAACTTAATTGAGGTTATTGAAAATATCAGAAAAAACTTTGGGCATCCTATCTGGCACTTCATTTACAAGTCGTTCCTAAAGTCATGCGTAACTTTACGAACAGCTTTATGAAACACCCCTAGGTCTCTGATTTTTCCACTATGACTTCATTTTGAAACCAATCCATGAAGTAAAAAAACACTTTCAAAGCGAGAATTGAATTTATTCCAATCCATAATTCATTTGACTTTGAAGAGAGCTGCTTCTTAGATGAATAGATACAGTGGGTAGCAAGTTACAACAAAAATCACATTACCTCGCATTAGATCTTTTTTTTTACTTGTGTATTTATAAAATTTATTTTTCTCTTTCTTTCCTTTTAATGATGGCACTGTTGGAAACCGTTAGGAAGTGATTACGATTTTCTTGAATTCCTTTAAAACTACTTTTATTTTGATAAATCAATGAGATATGTTTTCTTCTCATAGTATTCTACTACTATTCAAAAAAGTGCTTTGCTAATAAAAAAAAATAAAATCCTAAACAGGACATTCGAAAAGATTCAGTGAGTATTAGTAATTAAAACGTACGTGTGCTTGAAAACTATAAATATTCTAAGCTAAATGTTCTAGACAAGACACATCTTAAAAGTGGATTACTTTATAACGGTAGGTGTATTTTTTTAACTGCAAATTAAATTTGACAAAAGTGTGTAAACTTTAAGAAAACGCGATGGCTTAGGGGTAAGCAGTGATCTCAATTTATACACTACATGTAATGCTCTTTGGTAAGGCATTAATCCTCATTAGCAATTCCCTCGGAGATGACTTATATCCGTCGGTCCCTGGTTGCTCATTTACATGTTACATGTACATGTACAAGCATTATCTTCCTTTCTTAGCAATCGGGTAAAATAAAATAGATAAGATAAATATAGATGAATCTTTACTCATTGCTCATTCCTTACAATATGGGAGATGCTGCAAACTGATACATTAAAAAAAGTATAAACCTGACATGCACATACGAAAATAAACAGCTTTAACAAGTTGTCTTTTTGTTTTGTACATGTATGTGTCTATTATCTATTTATCACACTGTTTAAATGCCATTCTTTGAATACGATGGACATGTTCATTTAAAGGGGCGGCTTGAGGCTTCAAACCCTGAGTATTTTACAAAGTTACATGTACACGTAGTTCCTTTTTATGTGCTAATACCTTGCCTATACCAGTACTCTTCAATTTTAAATTACTTCACATGCTTTAATGATTATCCAGCAAAAGAAATACCGCATACCTTAGCAGTCACTCGCCATGCTCACCATCTTTTAAATTGTTGAGATTTTTATTTTTGGTATTAGACCCCTTTTTTTGTCGCTAAATCGTGGAAAGTGGAATGATGTCGTTCGACTGGAGTGGACATTCATATTTATATATAAGATAAACATGAAATGCATAATATATTGTTTAAAAATATGGGAACGACCTTTTTACAATGATAACTACTATAGCGAATTTTCCAATAAATTCCTTTAAGATTGATATTCAAACACAATGCTTTCAATACTGTTAAATCATGTAATTTGTATGTTTACCTCATTTATGTTTCAACATAGGGTGCTAAAATGTCAAACCTTGTCAAACCATGTCAATTAAAGGTTTACCATGTTCAAAGATGTTGTTTACTTTTCTATGTTATAATAAGATTCATATATATATAGGCCTACAAAAGCAAAGCCTTTCAAAGTGGTCAGATCATAGAGTTCGTAGGTATACAGGTGCGTACATGTCTATACATGTACCTTTAGTAAAATGTGTATTTTTGCGTACCAGAGAGTCACTATTTTCGTCTAAATAACACATTATGATACATGTACAAGTCTGTTAAAAGTTTCCTACAAAAATTACGTGTAGTTAAGTAGCTATGATGCAAACCAAAAACTACTCAATTTCATATTATAATACAATTAAGAAGATTGTTATGTAGAAGGAACATTGCAAAATTAAAATTTGGAAGAATGATAGGACATGCGGGTGAAATTGTGCTATTTCTTCTTTTAAATTTAAAACTAATCAGTTTGTCTCAAAGGCTCATACATTTATAGTTCTTCATTCTAAAATGAAGAAAATACAATATGTAATGCTCAGTTGAAACAGTTTTGTGGGGGGATGTCCAAAATAGTTTTTCTTACACGTTACTCCGTCTAAGATTTTACTATATCTGCGCATCATTATTAAATTAACAGCGCTATAAAGTTTGAATCAGACGAAATATGGACTAAAATGAAACTGTTGATATCAATTTCAGTTCAGAACTGAGCGATCCTGGATGAAATCATCTTCAGTATTGAAGGAGGCAGATTATCCAGCAGAATAAGAAGAAGAAGAAGAAGAAATACCCTGGATTAGCCAACATACATGTACATGTACATATTGATACAAGGACAGACTCCCGAACTTATTTAAATAAACTTTTTACTTTTACCTTAAAGTTTGTTCACTTCTGATAAAAAAAAACTTCTGGTTTGAACCATCATTTCAGATGGATTTCACTGGCATATCACTATTTTAATGTATCTAGAAGTTTTACACCGTTGTGTAGTTATCTGCAACATCACCTGCTGTCACAGCATATCCCATCCAATTTACCTTAGAAAAGCTGCTTCAGGGAGTATCTCATCAAGGGTCAAAAGAATGGAAAACAAACTTTAACAAATATATTCTCCAAATGATTCCCATCGATATATTTTTCTTAAAAGAATAATCCCGTTTGAGACCTCCAATGTGATAAATAAACATAATAAGCACTACTATTATTTCACTACGCCATTCGTATACATGCGTGATATTGACATAACAGTCAACTCGTTCGACGAGGTACTGTTTACCAAGTCACTTTAAATCTATCGAAAAAGAAGCAGAAAACGACAAAACTCGCTACATTTAATATCATTTGAAAGTAGATTTTCTTTCAAACCGGTTAAGATTTAATTCGACTGATAGGCTTACCCAGAAACAGCATGCATTGAAAGTTAATCCTAAAGTATAAGTCCAGTGTATGTATTGGGAACAAAATGGCGTCGCAGTCTTGTACCACTTTCGTTACACCGTCCGAACATTCTTTCTTTTTTCTTTTGTTGTTGTTGTTACCGGCCTACTTTTACCCCCCTATAGCCGAATGAGGAGTACAAACGGAAAGCTAAAAGCTCCCTATTGAGGATTATCATAGGGGGGTATTCAAGCGATACCAACCCCCTTAGCTACACGCTTTACATGACAAAAGCACCCCGGTTGACGCGCAGTCTTGATGTTTGACCATTGGATCCCACAGAAGAGGGGCTACGGGGCTCATTACTTTAGCACTACCCGAGACTGTGGTGGCTGCTTTCGATTCCTCGGATCGATACGCAGATAGTGGGAGGAGAAAGGGGTAGAGTTTTCGATGATAAGCTTCTTGTTATTGATGTATCCAGGGGCACGGCGCCTCTATTTGTTTCGGAAACAATTCGGTGATGTCATCGTCGTCGGGATACAACTCATTGTGATGGGCTGATTTTAAAAAACAAGGGTAATAGCATTGTATACACGGTACACGAGTGTGACGAGTCAGAAAATGAAGACGTAATGAAACTGAATTATTCCCCCCTCCCTCTCTCTTTCACTCTTTCTCTCCCTCTCTCTCTCTCTCTCTCTCTCTCTCACTCTCACTCTTTCTTTCTTTCCTTTACACCACCTACAAAAACAGACAGGCTTGTCTTTCCTTTCCTCTGGTATTGTATTGACCAATGGGAAACCAGTGCAAATACTCTAACTAGCCATTATCCAAAAAGCTAACAGATATGCAGATCTGAAATGAATTAGAAGTTAGAAGAAAACGAAGAGAGAGGCACTGACAAGCAAGACCAATCTGCCTCCATGTACAAATATGCCACAGAACATTGAAAGACAGACATCACAGCACTGGAAATCATGTCAGTCTTAAACAAAACAACGGAACGGAGAACTTTATCCTTGGACTTATATATATATATATATATATATATATATATATATATATATATATATATATATATTATATATTCTCATAATCTCTTTCTTTCTTTCATACCCACCCACACAAACACAAAGTCAGTTTCATTGCTCTCTTCAGTTTACCTTATACTTTTTCTTTCTTTTTTATACTTACTTATTTCCTAAAATTATGGTCCCTTTTTTTTCATATACAGGCAAAGTTTCTCAGCAAGTTCTGTACGTTTTCAATTGTATTTTTTTCTTCAGAACTACTGCTTTCTTTCCTTAATATCTTGTGGCCTTTTTTTGGCGCAATCTTCAACCACCATACTACATGTATGATAAATAAACTTGAAAATGTGAGGCTAAATTTGGATGTATTAAAAAAGCTTTTTTTTTTAAAACATATCCGAATTTTCGATTGTTATTGTTTGTTGTTGTTTTGTCATTATTGTTTGGTTGTCTTTTATATACTTATATCCCATAACATTGGGAAGTTGGAAAGAAAGAGGTTAAGGGGGCATGTCGGCGGATGAAAACTGGGGTGATGGGCAGACTTGGGTGTAAAATATTTTAATTTGTATTGTTAAAATGTTTCAAATAATACCTCCAACTGCTTAATACATCAAACCAAGCATCATCCTTTAACAAATTAAAATGACAATGAAGATGAAACAAGCACCTAAATAACTCATCATGCGGACAAACATATTCATGTTTTTGGCAAAGCTGTTTTATTAAAAAAATGATATGAAAATGAAAAGCAAATAAGTATAGACGATTTTGCATTTATAATTTCTTCATGCACAGAGCCCTTTTTTAAAACCTTGACTAAATACAAAAAACACCATGAATATCCGTGTTTATAATGAAGCTTTTCATGAACAAGCAAGAGCTACAGGCCTATCAACTTTAAAAGTTTGAATACTCGAATGCGTGCCTTTCTCGTTTTATGTACAAAGATAATCTCGAACTTTAAATCGAGAAAGGATGTGATGCTCAAATATAAACTCATTTATAGAGTCACTGATGAATAAATCTCTTTGTATATCATCGAACAAATAAAGTTATCATTAAGAAAACTCACGATCGTAAACGCTTTCGGAAATTCAACCAAATGCATTTGCAATAGCCTTCTTCGTTAACGTTATCCATGATAAAATTACGAGAACTTCAATGACATACTCCATCACTTCTTCAGAAGCCCATATGCAAAATGATAATGGTATTGGAATTGACCTTGAATGGATTTCTCGAAAGTCTTTGCGATCGTGTCGAAATCAAACCGGATTATTACAGTGACAGCCCACCTTCTTCAAAATAATGATGGTGACGGTTTGATATTGACATCCACATTCGGCTCTATAATATTATCCTTTTTAAATTCGTCGGTATACATTGTTTACAATTTTTGTACAGCATAAATCGTGCTTGACTTCTGGATATTAAGTAAAAAATACATGTGGTTAAACTGCACTGACTTTTTTTTCCAAACTTGACTCAAAACAATCGCAAGTATTTTCGGAAAATCAACTAAGGGCGATTTCAAGCCCCTATTTATAACCAATAGAAATAATGCGCGAATAAAATAATACATTTCAATAGGTGACGAACAAAGCTATCAAAATTGCATTACGTTGATTTTTCGAAAGTAGTCGCGATCGTATTACTCAAAGATTAAAGGCACTATGGTAGCTTAAAGTGAAAGAAAAAGAGATGGGAGAGTAGGAAAGAGATAATTGCATAATTACCATCTAGCACATTTTATCTCATTGATTTCAGTAGACATTTCACATAAGACACTTTTTTCACGAAGAAATTACATGATATAAAACTGAATCTTTTTAACTACAAGCCAATAGTTGTAGAATAGTTCAACCATTACCCAACGAGTATTACTGAATATATTTTCGCACTTGAAATTACTAAAGAGTATCTTTGAAGATAAAATTGCACTTAAAATGTCAGCTATTAGTAAGTCTAATAGAAAGTATCATTAATATAATGATTGGTACCATTCCAGAAAGCTATTTTTTTAGATTTATTATATCTGATATGATTGTTCTTGATAAATAAAATAAAAACAAATTCCCATCAAATTATTGTAAATGACTAGAGAGTAGCTATCAAAATATTTCAAAATCAATAGCAATTATTCTATACTATTACAGTTATATTTTTGCTACAACTTCATGGACTATGTTTTGGGGGAGGCATTTCGATCACATCCGCCAGTCAGTAGTACTTTCAGTCATGCCGTGTGTATAACTCAAAATAGGCGGTGTCACACAGAGGCCAAAAATCCGGATTTTAGTTATTCTCTTAATTGCTGTCTGTCATCAATTATCCCACTAAAAATCCTCTAACGAAACAAGAAAATTATCCCTTGAAAGATTTTTCAAGGGATAATACTCAGTTTTTATATAGCGCTTATTTGAATCACTAAGCGCTTCCAAACTTGGAGATTATTACCCCGGCTTTAGCTGTGCTGCCATTGCGGCGCTCTAGCATTTGAAAGAATTAATTCCTGCCAGGTATCCATTTACATCACCTGGGTTGAGTGTGGTAAATGTTGATGGATGGTTCTGGCTATTGCGTCATCTACATGTCATGGAATATTATTAAAACAGAAGTTGTTTAAAACACACGTCATACATGTATATCACACGGCAATGTCGTTACTGCGAAGGCATGAGAGTCGTATAAAAAAATACCCTGATTAAATATTCAACCATATTTTGCCCAGCAAAATCTATACAAAATCATCTATCATATATAAAAATATCTTTTTAAAATAGTCCAACTTTTGGTCAGCAAGACAAATGGTAAAAAAGTAGGTGCATGATTGTGGTGAATGGAATGAGGCACTTTCGTAATTCTTAAATTTGATCACTCTGTTTCAATTACAGGTTGATGATTATCTTAAGATTTATTGCCTATAAACTCTCGATTGATTTAGTTGCCTGTCTCTTATTGAATTCACACATTGAGAATACAGTCATTAATTTAAAAAAATATATATTTAAAAAAGTAAAATACCATACACGCGTTATAGCCCAGCTCGTACTTCTCAGCACTATAGCATGTAAACCCGAGAGGTTTACTCTGTTAATAGAAATGAAAATGAAATAATTTAACGCCCCCCCCCCCCCCCCCCCAATGCTAAAAAGCTCCATTTTGAGTATTTCCAATGAGGTTCATTTTCAAAAAACCTTACTTAGGTTGTTTAATTTGCTTCCTTCCCATATCAAGCACCGCACACTTCTTGCTAATCCGATTTCATCACAAAATTATCCATTTAATACTAGATTTTGCTGTGGTCCTCGAAATAAAGGCGGATGCCCCCCCCCCCTTCCCGCGAGAAAACAAATGTATCGCTCGTCCGTTGATTTCAGAAAAGTGATGTGTTCTCAATTTTATGTAGAGTGAACACACTGGGTATACTCGCGAACTGCTGTTCCTCCATAATCTATAAAAGGCAAGGTTTCTGGCGGGCGATTCTTCTTCCCAAAGTTTCAGCCCTTCTTTACTGTATTATCAAATATTACCCAGGCGGTCACGCGATCCCTCTGTTGCATTTGTTGTGAATGGCGTTCAGATCTCGCGCAACCTCGAATAACCCTTGGTGCACACATGAAGGCAAGAAGGCATGAAGGCATTCTAACAGAGAGGTGAGCAACTGCATTGTTCTGTGTGAATTATTCGCACTTGGACTCTACTGTAGGCATAGATATGTGTGACAAAAGAACGTATTCACCTTCAAAGCAATTGACAGACGATTTTCTTTCTTCGTGTCTTTCACCCACCCACAAGTGCTTCCGTTATACTATAATAATCAACGCATCAAACTGCAGATAAAGAAGGCAAAAGGCATGAAGGCATTCTAACAGAGAGGTGAGCAACGGCTAATAGCCACTTCGGAAGAAAAGGAAAACATTCATGATGTCAGTAACTTCACATTATTGCTAAATTTCAGAACATACTCTTCGATAAACCCTTTTACCCTGTATATTATCCTCAAAGCGAGGAGTCCTATTCAACCCTCTTTACATCGTGCATCTCTGCTTGTGGTGACGGAGTCATTCTGTTCTTCGATGTCTTTGGAACATCTTATGCAGCAGTCGAAATACCCTAACAGTCTCCGCCCTGCTCTACAAGCCCTGTCCTGGATAAGGGCTATGCACATGGATGTCACGGCAAGACCGAATACTGTGAAGAGAAGGCAGAAGAAGAACCGACTGTTTTCATACTGAACCTCAGGAACAATATCACCAAAACCAACTGTCGTAAGCGTGATGAAAGTGAAATAGAAGGCTGTCCCATAGTCCCAATTTTCTACCCAACTGAAAGCCAACGCGCTTATGCAGATATAAGTGGAGAGAGTAAAGAAAACAAGTATTAACGAAACTTCGTCAGCAGGGTAGTCTTCCTCGTCATCGTCATTGGCGAATTTATCGTTTTTACACTCTCTTTCAGGATCTACCGTGGTGTCTTTGGTCTGAAGATGTTCCTTTTTCTCATCAAAGGTAGTAGTGCTGGTGGTGACGTTGCAGTAGGGTGTCTCGTCGCAGATCGCCGGACAGGACTGGTCGAGTGCTGAGTTGTTCGTGTTCGGCGATGGTGCATCCTCATGAGTTGTACCAAGAACGATCATACCGTTGACCCTGTCGTTGATCTCTCTTCGTTCTGAGGCATCCTCATGGTCCGCGCTAACCCGAACGGACTGCAGGTGCTTCATGGTAACAATTGGCATCGCGCCTCGGAATCGCCTTATCGGGAGGTTCTTTGTGGTCTTCCGCCGTTGCGTTTGCGTTGACTTGTTCTTCGATACCCTCTTCGTACTTCGGCAGAGGTTGAACCATCGGATGAGCCTAATGAAACCTAAAGCCAGTAATTGACCGATGTCGGCAAGGAGGAAGAACGAATAGGGGATTCCTATCGCAGAGTAGATGACGCACACTGCTTTGCCTGTTACAGTCTCTGGTACCAGATCACCATATCCTGTCAACGGGAATGAAGAAAAAAAAAGATACTTTTAATAGAAAAGAAGCTCTCTTCCAATAAATAGTTAGTGTACATACGTTACCGGAAATCATAAATAACACTTATTACATGTATTTATCTTGCTGTCCGAAAAAACACGTATTTGAGCACTACGTCTGCTTTGAACTTCTAGGCTCAAAACTGACGTTGTGTAACCCTTACTCTGTTTTAAGTATATGAGTTAACGCATTCTAAAATTTAAATTAAAATTTGAAATTAATATTCATTATATATTCGGAACTTTGGTATGAATTCTACGAATAATTCATTTACAAATAAACATAATCATAAGCGGAAACAACATGGTTTTAAAATTTGCACGGCGATAAAATGATAACTATGAATGGGGTATAAGTAAATAATAATCAATTCTGGGCCCAGACAAACAACAAATTTGAGTATTTATTCCTATTCAGAATGGGAAACCACGATATTAAAACCTGTTGTATTTATGAACCGTTATGAGCTTGATATCGAATCCTTGCAAATGATTGGTACGTCTGTTCCAACAAAAACAAAAAACACATTCGCTAAGATTTTCGAAAGTCAACCTCGTGCGTCAGCTACTGACATAGTGTGCACACATTAATATAACAAATACAAAAAATATTATGCATCAATCCTTATGACCCTTTAAAAACGGACCATTATTAATGATACAAATTGGGAAAACTGATCTGATCGATTCCTTAATTCTCCCAACTATATTATTACAATTTAATTACATTTTAGGTGAATGTAAATCGTCACAAAGCAATAAATTGGCTCTACATACCATTCCAGACATTTAAGAGTTGACAGGTTTTTAATAGCCAGTTTTATGTCATTTTTTCGTTGAAAAACGGTTGGGAAAATTCCAAAATGGTTGGGAGAATTTACTGTTAATCATTGTTCGAGGGTGTTTCACAGTGACGCCTTCAAAGAAAACCATAGATATCTTCGTGGTTTGAGAATTTTGTCACGGTTTTTGCATGTCAGAGGGTTAGTACAGTAGAAGGAATATAATAAGTAACATTTTATACACAAATTAAGTAATTTTTTTCATCAAACTTCAACGATGTTGCCGAGTCACTTTAACCTATCAAAAATGAATCATATTATCATAATCATTTCACAAAAAGAGGTAAGAAAAATTAATTCAAACTAGATAGGCAACAGAGTACTTCCCGGCCCCAAAAAATAAGTTAGCGTGGTCGACGATGACGTACCGATTGTGGTGATGGTGGTCATCGAGAAGAGCATGGCGCTCGGGAACGACCAGTTTCGACCGTCCATCAAGGTCTTCTGTCGCCCTGCCTTCCAGTCGGGATGGTTGACGGTGTCGATGAGGGAATCGAGAAGGGCGGTGATGTTGCCGTCCTCGAGTTTGACGATCCCCATGGAAGCATTGTGATAGGCCTCCAGAATGATCTGCTTCGTACGTAATGCCTCTGCCATCTGCAAAACACAAATTGATAAATCATAATTGTTGACGAATCCAGGATTTTCTGCCGGATTTGGGGGCGTAAATCTTTAAACAACTCTGAAATGTAAAAATACGATGAACGTTTTTTGATAGTTCATTGTACCTCACTGTTAAGAAAGCATGTGTATCATACAAATACAAAAATAAAAAAGCATGTTTATGCTTGTACGTAAGTAAGTAACCAACGGGTCGACAACTTTAATTCTCCTTCGAGAAAGTTGGTATTTATGAGGATGAATGCCTTACCAAAGGGCACTTGCGAATCGTTTTGGTTTCGAACCCAGGTCCTCCCAGTTACGAGACCATCGCTCAACCACTGAGCCATGTCGCCTCCTCACATTTACACTAGAAAGTTTTGTTCAAACCTAAAACAAACTCTTTTACAACCGTCAACAAGCAGAAAATAAAAATCCAAATTTGACTAATATAGGTTTTAAAGGTTCTACATTAGGTGCCTTTGGGGTATAAACAAATGTGGGGGCACTATAAAAGAAAATCTTTCACTTAAAGGTACTATGTCCCATTTGCAGGCCAAAAAAATGAAAAAGTTAAATTCCAACTGCATTTGAAAGATAATACTTATTTAGAACTTCCCTAAAAAAGGTGGGGTTTGAAAATGTCTTCAAGTGGGAAAATAATGACTATTAGTTGTCAAATCGACTTTAGGGCTATAGAGCCCAAAAGTAATAGTTTTGATTTTCAGACAATTGTACCTAATGGTCATACGTTTTATGCTGCGCAAAGATTCAATCAGTTTAATCATGGCCATCACAAGAAGTGGGTTATTGATGTAGACAAATGCTCATGTACCCTTTACAACTCTTTTCATGAATGTTATTACCAAAGAAAAAAAAAGCCAGTCAGTCACTCAATAGTGCCTGACAGTGAAGTCTAGCAAGTAAACGGGTTTCCATGCATAATTTGAATATGAGGACACTGCTAACGTTTAAATTTCACAGACAGGACATACATGACATATTCATAATTCCTGCAAAGTTCTACAGAATTTGAGGTTGGCTGCAAAAGGGACATAGTACCTTTAATGCTTGCTTAAGGTAAGCTAGATTAGTTAGATTTTTCCGGAGGTACATCCCCCCCCCCCCCCTCGATCCACAGGGGACATATCATATATTACAATTGTCCTGTTGAATTACATATTACATATTATATTGTGCATTATATATGAATAATAATTATTAAACAAAACATATGTACTACGTGCTTGTATTCAAGCAACTTGTGGAAACTCATCGAGTCATATCCGGGTGACTAAGTAGGGTTAACAATTACTATAAAACCATATAACAGTAGAGCGACACCGGTTCTCTGAAACCCTTCGCTTGATTGATTGATTGGCTGATACACCGGTTGCTTAATCCATTGATTGATTCACAGACATATCGATTAGTTAATTGGTCGATTGTTTCCACTTATCTGTTTTAATGGGTTCATTCAACCATCCATTTATTCATTCATTCGTCCATTCTTTTAATCGTTCGTCCTATTGACGTATTTCAAATACGTCAGCAATGGCCCTGGTTTCTTTCTCAAAAGAGAAAATATTTGAATGGTATCTAAACCAATACTGCCCTCAAGGCCAGTATTCAGAAAAGTTTTGAAAGGAAAACAGTTATCCTAAATAGTTGCTGTCAACAAAATAGCGATAAACAAGGTATGAGGAAAATCAAGCACCAAAGGAGGAAAACTTAGGAAAAGTTGTTTGTTTCAACAACTATATATTTTATTTCATATAAAAACTTATCGAGACCAAATACCATGGCCTTGTAACACAACGAACAAACAAAACCAATGTCATCATACATCTTATTTCCCATTTAATTATCATTTCACAACTTTATTTATTTTGTTTATTCATTGTGTAGATAATTTACAGTTGTTTGTACAGTCAGAGTAAAGCGATTCAACACTTGCCACTCCATTATTAGTGAACTAATTTAAACCAGATCTGACTCCACCTTTGTGAATAAGCGTTATCAATACTGTTCAGTTCAAAATTTAATTTGGGCAACGGTTTGTATGACGTTCTGGGTTGCCTGGGAAATTATCACACCGTCAACAGTGACGATGAGGGGGTAGTAAACTCCGTGGTAATATAATTTAGAAATTCCTGCTTATTATAGTTACTGGCGTTGATTTGCCAAGGTTTTTGTCGATATCAACATTTCAGACATGACTTTGAAGAAAAAACTGTTTAGATAGGTTCTATAATTATATCTGATATTGGTTCTCAGGAGCACTAATGCCACAACGAGGTGCTATATCAGCGTTTTCAACCCTTTCTTATAATCATTCATCACAGAAAGATTCGTTTTGCATCACTCTGGCACTCTCCAAATGATGAAAAGTGCTGCAAAATACATGAATTTAAACAAAATGCATGAATTCAAACACCTTGATACATGAGTAGAAGAATATATGTGAAGGTATTCAGGGACATCGCTGCCTGAAACCATCCTGTTTTTAGCTAACGAAGCGATCGAGTAAAAAGACACTCTATTATTTGTTTTACATAATATTTCCCGATGAATATAATGCGAGATCTCTAACATTTTGTTTTCACGAAATTGACGTTATTAAACTAAATATATTTCGCCGCACCCCGGTGTGCTTTACACACCGCCTGTCTGTCATAGCCCAATCGTAAATTCGGCTCGAGGCAAAAAGCATGTAAGAAATCATCAATGATCAATGGCTTCTTAAAATATTTAGTTCATTTGCATGATAGTCAACTTGAATAACAATAGCGGCGACATTGATATCAAGGAGGAGAGCAACTACAAACAAAATTAGTCCTTGCCCTTTTTCTCGGAAGAACTAGGGATGCAGAATTCGACTAACATTATTTTTTGAACCGGCTATGGAATTCCGACCTTTTTTAGTTGCGCCTCGTTATATCATGGATTGGTGTTGGTTATCTCTTTTCAAACGGAACTAAACGAGTTTCCTCTTGGTCATGAAAAGGCTTTAAAATCAAAAGAATGCTGGCATGGGAATTACTTAAGAGAACCAAGGATAACCCATCTTTAAGTTATCCCATTCTCTTAAAGGCAACCGCAATAAACAACAAAAATTACGAAAATTACGATCGTGATCAGAAAGACTTACGAAAAATTAACTTGAGTCGATTTCAATAGCCCTGTCTAAAAACCTTTTAAAATGCACGAACATTAAAGTGATGTTTTTCGTAATTCGGACGTGATATTTAAAAATGAGGGCATTGCTTTTTTTTAATTTCTTTTTTTAATGCGAAAACCATCGCGTAAGGCCATCACTTCGAGTTTGTAACGGTATTTGAAGACATTCCTTGGAGTATAAGTCAATATTCTAAAAATCCATTATTATCATATTAGCTAAAAGTGTGTTGTGTATCAAATGATGTATCAAATGTCAACTATGCCGACTCCAGTCTAACTCAAGCTTATGCTTTCTCTGGCTGCAGTCGGGTGTGCAAACCATAAAGCTATGAATTGAGTCACAGACCTGTTGAATGGCCCTGTACAAGTCTTTAGACTTATTGGTCGTCATCACAGGTCATTCAGGTAATTCAGGTAATAGGCCAGTCTCCGGTTATGCAATTCCTGCTTCCTGCGATGTTCGTATTTTCTGTTCATCCAGTCATTCATGTTTGTTTACGTATGTTCATTTTTATATCATCTCATGTGACTTTAAGTATGGTATGAATTGTTGGCTTTTATCCGTAAAAAAATTGTCAAACGTCTTTGCGATCAATTATTCAACTTCATATCCTTAATGTAGAACATTCTCGGGGAATATCTCAAATCAATGCCATGTATGACTGTGAACTTCGCCCATGATTCTTCAAATATTGCTTGCTTGTTTGAATCCCATAAATGCCATGAGAGGTAACCGATCTAAAAACGAACAATATACCCGAGACATTCTTTAAAGGGATCCGGTAACTTTGTCTCAGATTCTGAAACAAAATCCTGGATTTAGCCCATGCTGCAATGATAATTATAAACCTTTAGGTCAGTCAGGAACCCCATGACTTTTACAAGCCGATCGCCTATCTGATTATCAATATATTAATGATTGGAATTACAAATTTGAAAAAAAAAACGTTTGCCAAACGGTTTTCATTAAAATGTAGTCTATTGGGGAAAACGAATATGATAAAAACCGGTCACTCAAAGATTTTTTTTAAGGCACTTCTTGATTAAATTAAAGCGCGATTTTTTTTTAGGGCTTCAATATTACACCATATCACAGACACTGGTAACACGTAGGGTCGTGCATCTCATATTTAACGTTGTTAAACGATGCCTTTAACAATGTTCAAACGCTCACTCGGAAACATCGTCAAACCATTCAATGATGGCAATCTAATCTAACTATTGCCATTGTTTTAAGTTGTGTGCAGAATTTCCGAGTACCGGAACATTGCCAAACCATCACCGTAACTATTGGCATATAAATAGTACAATCATTCCCATCAAAGTGAATACATTCTTATACCTCCATTATGACATGCTGAAATGTACTCTTGACATGATAGCAAAATGAAGAAGACTATCGTCTATCAATTATTGTCAATCAATCTACGTTAGAATGTAAAGAATAACATCCTAGACAGTTTCTCGAAAAAAATAAACGTTCGGTTATTGAAGTATATTAGGAATGATTACTGGTTTCCTAACAAAAATACTACTCGGTCTGAGAATACCTCCATATATCACCATAAATATTGCAAAGATTTTCCATTCAATAATTGTCACCACACATGATAATCTTTCTTAAAGTGTTTTACCCCAATCTGCAATTATCATCAAATGAAAAGATGGTCGATATGATTGAAAACAAGTTCGGAAAAAATCAACTGAAAGTAATTTGATAACATTGGGCCTAATTATTTTCTTTTTTTAATTAACAAACATTACAATGTCGTATTAAATTACCTGACTATGATTTATAAAAGCAATACGTTGGCATTTCAAATTACTCATAATTAACTCTTGCTACCAATTGTACATCCAACATGGCATGTATAGACAGGTGGCCTTTATATAAAGGTGGCCGCTAAGACAGGTTCAACTGTATTTGCAAAAATCGTCTCACCTTTGCGTTTTCTTCGGCTGAGAGCTGATTATACATCGGCGACTCCAAGACCGAGAACACGACACCGCCGATGGCGAGATAGAGCAGGTAAACGCTGATCAGAATGATGTGCGGAATCACGTAGCGAAAAGACCGCACCAGCCCTGGCCGTCTCCCGGATGAACCCTTCGACGATGACGACGACGACGACGACGATGCCGAGGCCATGGTTGGGCTGCGATACAGCCCTGCCTGCTGGCTAACCAGGTTGATTTCGGAAGAAAATCTGTCCATGAAAACAGGGGATAAACAATCAGTTTAGTTGCTACTGAAACATCAACGTTACAATTTGAGGTCTTAATCGTGAGTTTGTACGCGCCCTTAATTAGACGAATTACGCACTCGCTTGTTTGCGGATGTGCCAAAAATTTACTTTGAAAGCAGCACAGCCGGCATATTTAAGAAACTTATGAACTCTTTGCTCAAAGCCGGATGAGGTAATTTTTACTATGCTTGAGTCTGGTTGTCTTAAAATTGAGAGATCCGCTTCTGAGTAAACTGTTTCTGAAAGAAAGAAGGAATCAATTCTTACTCTCTGAGAAGAATGTGTAGCACTCGGCCAACGTTAACAGAATGAGCGTGCATAAGGAGTGGCGTGAAGCCATATCTAGTATTTATACCAAACAGGTATTATCTGGAAAGTTCTTATGTCATAGTGTTCTGTTATGGTACATTTTTTCTCTACGTGTCTTGGCGGAAAATCAAGATGATAGCGTGTGAGTTTACAATAGATGCTAATCCCAATCGCTCTAGATCTCTATTTCTTAAGGCTATACTTTAGGGGAAATAGTTCTTACATTTTTCCGAGGCAAAAACAATATTTCAACTGGTGAAAATCGGGCAGAAAAGGGACCGTAAGTTTTCTTATTGTCCAGGGGGGGGGGGGAGGGGCTAACGAGTATCGGTTGGTCGACATGTTTTACTTAGTCGTGTACTGTCATATTTGTTAGGTGGGGGCACTGTGCATCCCCTAACCCCCTGGATCCGCTATATATTTGAGAAGTGTTTACTTGAATCATGTCATCATAATTCGAATTTTATGTAATTCATGTTCGAGTACATATCTTCAGATATTTATCACACCCCAACACGTGCTCCTTTTATCGAAACAACAAAGCGAGACAATGAAAGGATTATATATTCGGCAGAGAGGTATTTTATATCAACATGTTTTCTTTTCGGAAATATAATGATTTATCATCAGGTTATCTCCGGTCTTGGTTTTGCACTGATTCCGAATTTTATGTAATTCACGTTCGAGTACATATTTTCAGATATTTATCCCATCACAACACGTGCACCTTTTATCTAAACGACGAAGCAAGACAATGAAGGGATTATAATTTTCGGCGGAGAAGTATTTTTTAACAACATCCTTTCTTTTCGAAACATTTTCTGTGACATAAGCAATTTTTCATGTTATTTGTAAGAATAAAGAATTTGTGACATAATGTTTTAAAAATCATAATTCTCTTCGATCAAAAGAGTAACCTATCAAAGAAAGTAGTAATCCTTACATCAATAGCACATCATTAGATACGGATCTATAGCTTCCATATTCCTTTGATAAATATCATGCCCTTGAAATAGCTGATGAGTTCAGTTGACAACATTATACTTGAAAAGGAGAACAACATAGAACGACTAGCATATATATTTCCTCCGTTTGACCATTTCAAAGTCAATTTTGTTTACAATATTAAAAAATACCTTTAATTCTTTCGATTACGAATGTTTTTTGTCGTAAATAACACACGAATAGTATTACATCGATAAACCAGGAATAAAAAGAAACCAGGTTTGGAAAGAAACATACAAATAGTGGAAGATTCAAGAGAAGGACAGAGGGTAATGACTATTTTGGAGGGTACTTGCTCTTCTTCTTGTTATTAATGTCGCTTCTGTTGTTATTCATGCTGACTATCATTTTCACAACACGTTCTGGGTTCATGCACGAAGTAGTCACGTGCGATCACACAACTATTCTAATGATGCGTAGACACCATTGTGTTTTCTTATAATAATCAGAAGCGCTGAATCATATTACCTCAGCCAATTACTTTGATGGGAAGGGGGAGGGGAGGGGAGGGGAGGGGAGGGGAGGGGAGGGGAGATTCACGAGTCCAAACCTTGCAATCACTGATAAAGACAATTGGATACATACCCCCCCCCCCCCCTCGTCGTAACAAAAGGCTGGCTACGCAATGGATGCGGATTTCTAGATGAAATCTGGCATGTCCAGGTACAGATTATCAGATATCTATCCCACCCCCTCGTGTGCATCTTTTATCAAAACGACAAGACGAGACAATAAAAGGGATATGTATTCGGCAGACATTCGTTTTTACTAACATACTTTTTTGTTGAAGAAATGAGGATTTATCATCAGATCATCTCCGGTGTTTATTTGCATTACTTTTGCATTCTACCATAACAGCTAGTTTTCTTTGACACCGATTATGAAACCGCAATATCGCCACAAATTTACTGCAACATAAGCAGTTATTCATGATACTGGTGAGAATAAGGTATTTTTGACATTTTATTTCCAACAACAACAAAAAAATCATAATTCTCGTCAATCACTCCAGTAACCTATTGAAGAAAATATGACAAGTAAAACCCCTTTCAAGCATCAACAATAGCATACCATGGACATGGATATATGGCTTTTATATTTTTTGATAAATATTATGCCTTTGACGTAGCTGATGAGTGCAGTTGACAACATTATACTTCAAAATGAAAGCAGCATAGAACGACAAACATAAATATTTCATTTAGTCTGACCTTTTCAAAATGAATTTTTGTTACCAATATTCAAAAGAATCATTTTAAAGGTAAAGACCAGTTATGGTCATGCGATTGCATTGTGAAAGAAATGTTGTGGAATCGATCAGAAAAGGTTGATCATCTAGCATCTAGCATCTGCAAGGTTCTGGAATCATCAAAATGATAAGAAATTTGGCCCATTCTTCGTAAAGTTACAAGCACTATACACAGAAAGATGTATATGGGACTAACCTATATCTCTCACAGACCATGAGAGAAACAAATTTATAAAATATATAAATAAATAGGCGGTTTCGCAGCAAATTTTTTATCATCATGTATTAGTCAAAACATATTCTTTCACATGATTGGTAATGAGAGCTTCCATTTCATTTTTTTAAATTGGGGTGTTTCCAATACTGGTCTTTACCTTTAACTTGTGTTGTTTCTATGCACACGCATGATCCATTCATGCGAAATTCAGGAAATGAAAACATACTATGACAATTATCCTGTAGGAAAAGGAATCTCACGAAAGTTTGTTTATCAATTTCTACTGCTTTTGTAATCATATAAATGAAATCGAAACCAAGATTAAAAGGAAACTGAAGGTAATTAGATCGCGTCCCCATGACCAAATTAATTTTGAACTGCTTTTTATTTTACTAAAATCGAAATTAAAATCGAAGTATACGAAACTTGATGTACACTATTCATCAGCAAGCCCTTTCCTCCGCCGTAAATCAGCATAAAGAAGACTATCCGGTAGCGTATTGGTGCAGGCTGACGACTCTCGTATGAGAGTTCACATCGGTGCGATCCTTGCTAGGTTCTTATTATCGTTTGACAAGGTGTTTTACCCAATAAGTCCATTTTTATTTCTAACGTCCACCAATATATGGCAACTTTGTCTTTCTATTTTTTAAACAGAGTTTGGTATGTCTTTAAGTGATTTATTTGTACAGTTATGCAAATAAAACTACTTACGAAGGAAAATCTTTATCATGTTAATGCCTTGAAAAAAAGATCTTTTACCCCTTTTCCTTCTCTCCTTTCTTGTACGACGTTCAATTATCTGTGATAAAAAAATACCAGATACAACTTTGAACGAATTTATCAATGCTATAAATGTTACTGATCTCTAAACTACTCGATCTTATTTCCCTGTCGTGACTACTTTCATTTTACGTATACCTTGGTGATAGTTGAGGGGCGTATCTGGACCCTTGGTTGTAAAGGGGGGGTTGACGCTCTTGTTTTAATTGCTGATCCATTGTTGACTCTGTAATCATTCTTTGTATTGATCTCTCATTGCATCATGTATACTCTGTTTTTCTTTCCATTTTTTTTGTAAGAATTTATTTATATCATCTTTATTTCTGTTGGAGTGGGTGAGTTGCCACTTCTTTCGATCGTATTACGTAACACATGTCTAGAGCCAGATCAATAAACCAGGAATTAAAAAAAAGGAACCAGATTTAGCAAGATTATACAAACATCGGAAGATTTAAAGGTACTATGTCCCATTTGCAGCAAACATCAAATTCTGTAGAACTTTGCAGGAATTATGAATATTTCATGTATGTTCTATCTGTGAAATTTAAACGTTATCAGTGTCCTAGTATTCAAATCATGCAAGGAAATCCGTTTACTTTCTAGACTTCACAGCCAGGCACTATTGAGTGACTGACTGACTTCTTTTCTTTTTTTGATAATAACATACATAAAATGAGCTGTAGTTGCTTTCTTGCTTTTTTGTAGTTGCTTTCCTTCTTTTCATTGATGTCAATGCTGCTGTTAATTGGTGTTGACTATCATCTTTAAAACACGTTCTGGATTCATTCACGAGGTAATCTCGTGTGCGATTACATGACTATTCTAATTATGAGTATACATTTTGTATGTTTTCTTTTAGAAATAATCTGAAGCACTGAATCATACTATACCTCAGTCAATAATAAGGTGGATAGGAGGGGATGTGGATTCGACTGATGACCAGAACTTTCCATATTTTATGCTAAATTCTAAGAAGTGAGAATCATTCTTCTTCTTGTTCTTCTTCTTCTTATTCTTATTCTTCGACTTTTCCTCTTCTTTTTCTTTCCTTTTTTTTCGTTTACAAATAAGCTCAAATTCAATGTTTCTGGAAAACAAATATATGCAGTGTTTCATGTTTTTGGCAAATTGCAAAATCATTGACAATCTATCTTCTTCTTCTTCTTCTTCTTCTTTTTCTTTAGCTGTTTGGCTGTTTTTTAATTGGGCCGTGCATATACAATAAAAATACAGAGTAATCATAAGAACAAAACCATATATCATAGAAAGAATAACGAAATAGTAGAAATACTGAATTTACTTTAAAATAATACTGCAATCGTACGATCATTTCCATATTAATAATAAGCAAAACTGTTCGTGTTGGGATTGTATGAGGGCTCTGAGAAGGTCTTATTAAAGACTTTTAGATTTGCACGACGAGAACGTGGACTGCTAGGTGTGGCATCATTTCAAGGCAATGTGACGTGATTTTAAGGCACTGACAGTGCCCGGCAGTGCCTTAAACGGTCCACGTTCTCGTCGTGCAAATCTAAAAGTCCCTATTGACATTCAAACTGCAACAAATCCAACTGCATTTAAAAAAAGTACAAGTGACCTTTTGAAAAAAACATGCATGTACGAAGTGTAAATAGACCATGTTGCAGGCCTTAATATATCTGTGCTTCGATGGAGAAAAAAAAAGAAGGAAATAGTTCAAAACCAGCCAATATCGTGTTTTACTCTCGATGCCACAATTCCCGGATTTTAAATGTGCTTTCTGCTACAACGACGTACTCGAAATCCAAAAGATGCATTATTTCGCATCTCCTCTCAATTCTTTCATTCATTACATCGAGATTGCAAAACCTGGGGTATTTTTTCTCTTTTCCTTTTTCTACCTCATTAACCAATTAAATCTCGACACCCATTTCTTCTCCATCGTTATGTTTTATTTGCCCACAATAAACACAATTTATTTGGGGGTGGCTTGTGAGAAGAAATATAGACTGCTATAGATGCACCAGATAATATGCCAATTTCACTACTTACATGTAGAGTACCACAATGATGGTGTAAGTTTTGAAATTCGGGTGAAATTTACGAATATTTGAAAGGTGAGTTCAGAACTACGTCATGATCTCGAAATGTGCGGGATGACTTACCCACTAAAAGGAGACGATATACTGATATGATTTAATACAATAAGATTTAAAAAATTGAAATGGAAAAAATGACTTACATTACCACGAACATGAACAATTTTTGAAAGCCGAGTCCACTGATATTTTTTTCCAGGCCTTTCTCTCGACGCACACCAATTCAAGCTCTATATACACATATAACCGCGGGGATTTATGATATGTTTTCGAAAAAGTCGTGAAAGAAAATCTCAGTGTAGACAAAGAGTCTGCCTTTCCCTTTGTGTCCTATTCGCGTTCTTGTATGAACTTCTACTTACATGCATATATATATATTTATGCATGTTATTTGTTTTAAAAACAAACATGTTTCAGGATAATTACGTACGTAGCGCACTCGACACCCGACAGGGGACGGTGACTATTATTAATTCAAGTTTCGCTATCTATACCTTCACCTCATATTTCATAACATTTCTTAAGCAGGATGTTGTGGCTAAAAAAAGAAAGAAAAAAAAGGAAATTCATTAAAGAGTGGGAAGATTCAGACGGCGAGAGGCGGAAACAAGTATCTGTTTTTATCTAGATAGCGTGCCGTGCACTGATTGGTGTTGTTTGCCCCCCCCCCCCACCCCACCCCTCCTCCTCTGAACTACAAGCGGAGCAAGGATACCGCTAAGGGGAAGGGACCCTTAAAAATATAAGTTTTACTTTCATAATAATTATGTAGAAATAGTAGACGTACTTATCCAGACAATATTAAGTGTTGAGGAGTATCGATTTTTGTGAAGAGTTCTTGATGATCTCGGACATGGACATTCATTCATACTGATAAAATTAGTTCTTAATATTAGCCCTCTTGAACATAAGTGAAGAGCGTATACAAGTATATTATTGTTGTCACATGTTACACTTATATAAGACGAGACTTCTTAATATTAGCCCTCTTGAACATATAAGTGAAGAACGTATGAAGTATATAATTATTGTCACACGTTACACTTCTATAAGACGGGTTATTCGAGTAAATATAGCCTATCCGTACGAGTGCTCATTAAAGTGATTAGCATGCAAACAATAAGCTCAGGTTATGCTTTAAAAGTGTGTATTTCCTTCAGCAATTTATTTCCTTAAACAGGAAATCACCTTTAAACGTCGGGAGAAATCCAGATATAAGTAGATTCCTGCTGTTGTGCAGCTGCATACAACTCATATTTTGTTATTCAAACATCTAAATATGTTTCCTAGATTTTGAAATATTTTTGAAAATAATTTTCTCAGACCTGCTAGGCCCAACCCTAAAAAAAAGCTCCAGATCTCATTCATCTTGTAACATTATATGTCAATCATTAGTGAACTAACAAGAGACGGTGGTATGTAACTTCCCCTCAGCTCAGCACATGCTCACAGAAGAATTGCAATCATACAATACCTCCACATTACCTTTCTTTTCCTAGTGATGCTACATCACGTCTGACATAGCATCTCCTATGTTGGCATTGTATGGTCTATTGTAAACATGTGGTCAGCTCTGGTGAAGCTACATACACTATGAATATGACGGACAAAGAAAGCGGACAAAATATACAGTTCCTCATTCTATCCTCAACAATTGCTGTGGTAGACAAAGGAACATCCCTTCACTGCTATTATGTAAAAATGTGTAGAACAGGTGTCACATGCATATTCACCTGTTCTACACATTTTTACGTAATAGCAGTGAATGGATGTTCCTTTATCTATCACAGCAATTGTTGATGGTAGAATGAGGAACTGTATATTTTGTCCGCTTTCTTTGTCCGTCATGTTCATAGTGATACCACTGTATCGTGTAAGCTCACACGAGAAATTATTTTAAAATCTATAAAATATATTCAGATGTTTGATTGACAAAATATGAGTTGTATGCAGCCCTGCATATCAACAGGAATCAATTTATATGTAGATATCCCCCGACCTTTAAGTGTATTCCTTCTTAATACCGACAATAACAATTTTTAAAAGTTTGAAATATTTGTTTAAACTTTTTTAAATATCATACGGGCATTATCATGTCCAAACTGTACGTGCGCATAAACCAAGTGTACAGAGTATAACAGCCATTCAATAATCATAATACTAGTGACTTTTAAACACTTAAAGCCCACAAGACCGCCACAACAATGAAATACATGAGGAGAGTCAGAGAGCTAGCAAACTACAAAGGCACACGAGACCTAAAGTACACGAGACCTATAGCCTACGAGACCGACAACCAATGAGACCAACAAAATAAATAAAATCTTAAGGAAATATTGAAGCTACGCTGTAGTTTGTTCCACAGGTCCACGAGACTCACAGACCATAGGTCCTAAATCTCACAAGACCTACATTAGGGACTTTTAGATTTGTACAACGACAACGTGGATTGCTACGATCGACGTCCTTTTAATGCACTGCCTTGAATGGACGTCACACGTATCAGTCCACGCAAATCTAAACGTCCCTAGTAGTAAAGCCCACGAGACCACCACAATATAAGGAGAAACAGAGAGCTAGCAAACTATGCGGATCCACGAGACTTATATTAATGAGACCAATAAAACAAAGAAGTGCATTTTTGTTTAAAGGGATCCGATAACTTTGTCTTAGAACCTTTAAAAATAATCCTTGATTTAGCTCATGCTGCAATGATAATTATAAACCTTTATGTCAGTGAGGAACTCCATAACTTTTACAAGCCGATCGCTTGTCTGATTATCAAGATATTAATGATTGGAATTACAAATTTTGAAAACCGTTCGCCGAACGGTTTTCATAACACTACAGTCTATTGGGGAAATGAGTATGGTAAAACCGGTCACTCAATTTTTTTTATTTTTTGAGGCATTTCTTGATCATTTTGAAGCGCGAACTTTTTAGGGCTTCAATATTACACCATCTCACAGACATTGGTAACATGTAGGACCGTGTATCTTAGATTTAACAATGTTAAACGATCCCTTTAATACATTTTATTTGGTTTGTAAGTCTAGTGGGTTGTAGCCCTATCTTTCATACAATGTATTTGTGTGTATCTGTGTTTTATAGCGAAATGATCACATTAGCAGAACTAAAGTCGATCATATGACATGGACATTTGTAATTTCTATAGTGTCATCAACGTTGTTAATGGCTATAAGGAAGTAAATTGTTTTCTCTGGCTCATCTTTGTTGGTTTAGACAGGTTTGATGAATTAGACCGTCTTCCTTGTGATTTTATTCATAGTCTGAGGTTACTCAATAAATCATTAACATATTTTCGTGTTTTTTATGTAATACATGTATTCTTGTATGTCCGGGCTTCGATAAGATGATTGTATACTGCACGATGTGACTGTCACGTGGTGCTTTAAAACACCGCTAATCGCTGACGCAAACCTACGTCAGCATATTAGGGACTTTTAGATTCGCACGAAGACAATAGGTCTATGCTACGATCGACGTCCTTATAAAGCACTGCCTTGAATGGAAGTACCACGTATCAGTTCACGCAAATCTAAAAGTCCCTAATTACGCCTCGTGTGCAACGGACACAAAGAAAGGAGTCACGTGATGCAACATTCGCCGGTAAGCTATTGTAGAGAGAGTATACAGGTTTACTCTCTAAACCGGAGGCCAAATTATCCCGTTATAAAAACAACAGCAATAACAACAAAATGACGAAATCCGCCCTGCGTTTGAAATCGCATTTTACAAAATATCAATATTGATTTGATAATTATGATATACTCACAACACTGGAAAATCCTCACATCCCACTAACAGGGTTGAAAACAAGATATGAACGTCTCTTTTGGCTTGAACGGTAGGCATGATCACATAATATCGTCCTGATGATCTCGATCTAATTTCAGTTGACCATAAATCACTATAAACAAACATGCGACCAACCCACCCAAACGGCCGAGTCAGTATGTGAGATTTCTGGGAAAGTAGTTGTGGGATAGCCCTGATAAAGCGGGAAGCAGAAAATGTTTCAGTTCGGGTGGCAGACACGTTTGTTGTGTAAAATTTTCCGCGAGTATTCATTGCGGAAATTGTGGAAACGTCGTTTCCGACACAGTACACGCCTAAAGGATGGTCTGGAAAAATACCAAACTTCCATTCAACAATTCTCACATAGTTCATGGAAGGTACACGGAGAGACAACATTAGGTCAGATAACAAACTTTTTCAGTACTCGTGGAGGAAGGGAACATGAGAGATCACCGCGAGATAACAAAAATGGAGAGAGAGAAAGACACACACAGAGAGAGAGAGAAATAGAGAGAGAGAGGGGGGAGGGGGAGGCGGGGGATGAGTGAGAAAGGTTTATCACGAGAAAAAGAGAGGGAGGGGAACAAAAAATGCAGATTATTATCAAGACCCTTATTGCCTTGGCTTCAATAAGCAGACACGTCCTATCTGTGAAATTTAAACGTTAGCAGTGTCCTAATATTCAAATTATGCAAGGAAACCCGTTTACTTGCTAGACTTCACTGTCAGACACTATTGAGTGACTGACTGGCTTTTTTTTTTTACATTTTTTGGTAATAACATACAGCTGTAAAGGGTACATGAGCATTTGTCTACATCAATAACCCACTTCTTGTATTAATGGCCAACATTAAACTGATTGAATCTTTGCGCAGCTTAAAACGTACGACCATTCGTTACAATGGTCTGAAAAATCAGACTATTACTTACTGGCTCTAAAAGTTGAATCGACAACTAATAGTCGTTATTTTCCCGATTAAAGACATTTTCAAGCCCCCTCTTCTTTAATAATAATAATAATAATAATAGCTCGTTCTTATATAGCGCTTTTCAGGACCGGAGGCCCTCACAAAGCGCTTAACAGATAAGTATATCATTACCCCGGTCATTGGATTCAGGCTTACCCGCACACAATGTATGCACATTCTCCACTCCCTGGGGAGTATTCCAGCCAGGCGTCATTTTTACATGCGCACACTTGCTAATCTAACCACATTAGCTTTCGCATCCTACCGGGTACCCATTTAACACCTGGGTGGAGAGTGGCAAATGTAGATCAATGGGAAGTTCTTAATTAGTATTGTCTTTCAAATGCCGTTGGAATTTAACCTTTTCATTTTTTTTGGCCTGCAAATGGGACATAGTACCTTTAACATAGCCTGTGAATGTGATTGACATTGCTTTTTCAAATGCTCTTCCGCTGTCCATGCCCTAAGAGCCGTGGCGTCTTTAGGTTGGTTCTTTTGGAAATGGGGGGGGGGGGCAGAGTAGAACTCCGACGGTCATGGTAGATCATGGGTAAATTATCCGAAGTAGGTGATTTGCTGCTGCGGCTACATCCCCCACTGGGGTAGCTAGGGCACACTTCACAGTTAAGGGGTCAAATTTTCCTGTGTAATGCCAATGGGGTCTCGAAGGGCATGGGCCGGTTGAACCCCCCGGCCCCCATTTATTTGCCACTGCTAAAAGTACTATCATGCATTTGTGGAAATGAAGATGGTCTATACGTAACCACCGGAAGCTGTTCCTGACCTTACAATAGAAATAGAACAGTAATTAAAGTAAAAATGTCCTCTAAATACTACAAAATGATTGTTTTATCTCATCAGCGCACAACACAATCGCAACAAAAAATCACATTCTCATGACTCTATTGCAAATAGAAACCACATTTAGATTGTGTAATGTATCATTGTAACGTCCGCACATTTCAAAAGGGGGATGAACAAAGCTTTTGAAATCGTCTTTGGTTGATTTTAGAAAGTCTTTGCGATTGACTATTTACATTTTTTATACTGAATTGGAGCTAATATTTCTCTTATCCATGAAAAGCAATTATTGATCAGATGGATTTGTAACAGGAATTAATTTCTTCAAAGAATCACAACTGCTACAATTGGCACCCCATAGACATTAATCTCTTAATTATTATCATTATCATTATAATCATTATACTATTATTATCATTATCAGTACTTCTATTATTGTAATCATCTTAATTGTTATCATCAGTATTACTAATACTATTATTATTAATTATCATGATTATTATTATCATTTCTATTACCTACAATCATAATTATTGTATTTATTATTATCAATATTATTACTACAGTATTATTATTTGTTTACTATTATAATAACAAGTAGTAATAGTAGAGGTATTAATAGAAGTATTTTTTATTTTTGTGATACACGTTATTTTTCAAAGTATAATGCCGATTCATGTGATATTTCATTTGGCATGAATTGAAAAGTTCTGCAAAAGGGATTCACGACCTTTAACGCTCTTCGGGCTCTTCCGGGCATGGACCAATAACGTGCATGGCTCACCTTTAACCATGGTATTTCAATTATTACTTCATTAAGACTAAATCGATCGAGTTACGTATATCAGGAATACCCGGGGTTTATCAATGTATATAACAACCGGACACAGATAGCTTATCTGGTTGAATCACATAAGCGATCAGCCAAATAATGGTATATCCGACGTCTTCCGGTTTGAACGGGTATAGACTTTGGGTAAGTCATGAATGGACTGCCCTTAAAGAGAAGGTTAAGTTCTGGGAAGAGGTGAAAACTAATTTGTGAGCGTTCATCATTCTTATTATGCAAGTGTGGAAGAACATCAGATAAGACATGTTGTCATGTTATCATTTTGATGATTCCAGAACCTTGCAATACACACAAATTCTTATGTGCTAGATGATCAACCTTTTCTGGTCGATTCCACACCGTTTCTTTCACAATGCAATCGCACGACCAGAACTCAACTTCATCTTTAAAGATAAACTTGAGTTCTGGTAAGAAAAAAGAAGAAAATGAGTTCTCATAGAATCAAACGAAACTTACACTGAATGTTCAAGATTACAAATAAATGTCATTTGCCAAACAATTTTGGTAGAAAATGTATACGGGCTGAGTAATGAGCATAGAAAGATAAGGAAATCAAGGTTAGTAGCCCCCGACACCATTTGTGTAGTCCCATATACATCTTTATGTGTACAGTGCTTGTTACTTTACCAAAACTGGGCCAAATTGATAATGAATTTTGATGACTCCAGAACTTTGCAATACACACCAATACTTACATGCCACATGATCAACTTTTTCTGATCCATTCTACAACTTTTCTTTCACAATGCAATCGCATGACCAGAACTCATCTTTATCTTTAATATCTGATTATCACTGATTGAGAACGTCTATATGTGCTAGATGCGGAATGTTCCAGATGTGTCTTGTACGATTGCAAGTTTTTAATTTTTCTTTGATTTGATTTGATTTGATTTATTATTTCTGTTTGAAATTCCGATCTCTTATGTGACTTGCAGTTATGTTCCCTACATCCATTTTGTGCAGGTCTTGCAGAATATCTAGATTCATTTTAAATCCTGTCCGCACTATAGTTTGGCCAGGAGGGATTATGCCTCCCTGCATTGTCACTGACAGATTGCTATCTCATCAAATCAACTTTCAATTAACATAAGAAAAAGGGATCATGGGAGACCAACGGTCACCGATTAGGCATTGTTTACTATATAGAGGGCGCAGGTAGCTATATTTAGTGCAGTGGGGCTTTAAAAGAGATTGAATAGACAAAAATTAATTATGTAAAGTCGAAGTGAGGTTGTAGTCTGCCTTGGACTGTTCCCGTATGTTCCGCTTCACTGAGCAACGTACGCAATTATAGATTTGCAACAAAATAGAGAAAATTTTGGCAGAAAATTAACTTTGGTTATATAAATGTGAAATCAAATTACTGTTCTCAGTCTTTAAGTTAGACGTTAAGTAAGTCCCTACTAAAATGTTGCCCGATCTCCTATTTTCCTACTAGCCTATTCATTTTTTTTTTTTTAATTTACTTCATCATCTTTATCGTCACTTTCCACCGCTGTAACTTCTACTTCTAGCATAATAATGATAGTAATAGTAATAATCATAACAACAATACTATTAATCATAATAATAATAACAATGATAACAATAATGATAATAATGATAATAAATATATAATAATGATAATAATGAGAGTCTTATATAGCGCTCATGTCTGGCACATTCCCTGGCGCCCCATTTAATATTTGTAAAATAACTATTCGAAAAGATGCATAGATTGTGTGTTGTTGTATGAATGGGAATGCAATGGATAGGAGTTTGAACACAATGAATAATAATGTATTATACCATCTCTAAGCGCTTTATAGATATTATAACCCCAGTCATCGGATTCAGTCACAAATAATTTGCACCGTATCCACTCCCTGGGGAGTATTCCTACCATATGGTCACCATGAGGGCATATGGCAATCACTACAATGCTTTCGTCATCCTACCAGGTCCCCTATTTCTCTCCTGGGTATGGAGCGGCAAATATAGATTAATGCCTTGCCTGGGCATGAGCATGAGAGCTGTGTCGAGGATTGAACCCACGACCTTTGCGTTTCAAGTCAAGTGCTTAAACTAATCGACTACGACACCTCAATAATAATAGCCTAAACTAAACTAAACATACAAAACGTTAAATCCAAATACTGATGTCAAAGTCAAGTGAAGGACATCCAAATAATGATTTACGCTAGAACAGTCGCGTACCGTCAGTCCGCCCATCAAAGGTAGGGGGCACTAGCTCATGGAACAATAATGGGGGGGGGGGGGGCAAAAGTCTTACTTACAAGATAGGATGCGAAAAAAATACACGGCTTCTTATGAAAGGGGTTGGGGCAAAGAGATACCTCTTTGGTTGGGGAGGTAGTCCACACGTCTATTTTCCTCGTCCTTTTCCCTTTCTCCCTTTCCCTTTCTCTCCTTCGTGTGTAATAATAATGATAATGATAATGATGATAATACTGATGATAATGCAAATAATTACCAGGATAATAATGATAATAATGATGATGATTATATTGATGGTAATAATAATGATGTAAATAATGATCACTTTATTAATAATAATAATAATAATAAAAATTCTGACGAAAACAATAGGTGATCTGTCGTTGACAGAC